CTAGGCCATACAAATTTTTGGGGCCCTTAGATTAAATTTTTTTCTCGCATATTTTTTTTTAATTCAAATATAAAAGTATTTATATATCTTCTCATTTAAAAAAGCATATTTAAAATTTAAATAAATAATTAAATTTTATTTTATTTTATTAAATTAAAACTAAAAAATAATCATAAAATTTTGAAAAATCATTTGTTTTTCTTAATTTTTAAAAATTTATTTTCAAAAAATCCATTTAAAGGGGGTCCCTAATCATTGGGGGCTCCAGGACATAGCCTAATGGGTAATCCGGCCCTGATTTTTTTTTTTTTTTTGTTCGCTAAACAATCAAGAAAATATTTTCTCCGTAATTATTAGGGGTTGGCGAGCGGTAGCTTTCTAATCCAAACATAAATTCTTCCTTGAGTTCAGAAAATTGATTACGTTCATCAGCAAAAAAGAAGAAGGATCCGATGACAATAAAATAAAAATAAACGACGTAATCATCAAACACACAAAAGTAAAGTTATGCAAAGGAGAGTGAAAAGGCAGCCATTGTCTCTGTGGTCACCTGGATGAAAAAGAAAATGAAGAAATCTTGAAATGGGGATGAAGGTCAAAAAGAATGGTCAAGCACCGCCGAAAATGTTTCACTTTTACTTCTCAAGGACAAATAGGTCATCAACAGTGCTTTTCTTCTTCATTGCTGGGTGGGCAGATTTATATCCCTTTTTAAATGTTTTGTTCCAAGTGAGGAGAAAAAAGAAAATTATCGAAAGGGTAGAATTTTTTATTCGTTTCAGAATTGCTTGTTCGATGTTCACTTTTCTACACCATAGCCCGTTGAAATGTTCTAGACTTTTATAAAACTGTATTTATCGACTTATAGAAGATACATTTCATCTAGACTAATCATCTAATAAAGACTTTCATCTAATAAAGAATTTATGATACCTCTTTAAATTTGCATTTTTTGAAAAACTATTGAAATGAAGAATGATATATAACTTTAAAATTAAATTTTGAATTGTAGCTATAAATTAAAAAACTCAATTGTAACGAATGTTTTTATGGAAAATATCGTCACAAAAAATATCTTCGTTCAAAATTACCGTGTGTGCAAGTGAAAATAAATGCCCGTAGCAATTGAATTTAGATATTTGCTTAAAGAGAATAAATAAATGAAAAATTTTAATACTGAAATGCGCGCTTAAGATTAAAAGCAGTGTTGTGAGGGTAAATTACACAAGGAAAAAAAAGCATGCAATAAAAAAGCATGCACGGTACAAATGAAATTAGTAGAAAAGCTTCAAAAAAATTATTTCAATGAAATTATTAGAATAGCTCTGCAAAGAAGAAAAAATTATTTCTATCATATTCTTTGGAGCCGTGGTGGCTCAAGGGTTCGCCTTCCAAATAGATGAACCAAGTTCGAATCCCAGCAACGGCTGGTCGATGCGAATTCTGCACCCGGTTCGCACTGACCACAGTGTTGAAATATCCTCAGTGGTAGACGGATCATGGGTTAGAGTTCCCCTACCGTCAGGCTAACCGTGGAAGGTTTTCTTAGAAGTGTAACGCAAATGCGAGTTAGTTCCATCAAAACGTACTCCCCGAAGTCATATTTCTCCCACTACTTGATCCAGGAGTTCCCTTGTCTTCTGGATTGGGTTCAAAATTACAAGGCTACGTAGTTGAACAAAAGCAGTCGTTTACCCAAAATTAACTCGGCTGTTCAACGACGGTAATGAAATCAAAATTATTTAAATTGAAGAACAATTTTATAAAAAAAAATCACGTGCAAAATAAATTGTTGAGAACAAAGATAACGGTCAAGATGAATCTTTTACACGTGGACGCGGCATTTACAAATGAAAGACAAATCTTTGTTCTTTAAAATAGAACGTCGTAATCACCAAAATCATTCACATTTTTATTATTCTGGGAGTTATACCTCCTAACAACACCAATGGTTGTTTCGCTTTCATCACTCCCCCGTTTTTGTAAATGTCATTATTTTCCACAGATAAAAGGAATTTTTTGTTTATTATAAAATACATAATTATTATTAGAATTTAATGGAACAAGATTTTTAAACGCATTAAAAATTATCGAACCTGTAGTTAAAAACTATTGAACTGCATTGAAAAAAAATAAAATAATAATAATAATCTTAGGAATGTGTTATATAGAGTAATTTTGCTCTTTAAATGATTTATGTGACAATATAAGTTGAAATAGGAAAGGGTATTTTACGTCTCTTGAATTAAAGCTTTTATATTTTTAAAGATTTCAATATCAACGTCACATAAGACTGGCAACATATCTTTTGATTTTTTATTACTCAATTTCAACCACTCTCAATTTTCTATGAGATTAACTTCAACACGAGCTTCTAAAGTTGAAGCTAACGAAAGTGAGAGAGAAAAAGAAGTACATGAAAGATCCTTTCTGCACTGCATTTCTGATGGCTCCACAATATTTTTTTACTTAAGAGGACGCCATACCGAAGGAGAAAGTATTCGTCGCTAATTCTCTTTGTCCTTCATTACTAATTTAAAGTGTAGAAAAAGTGAGTACTGAGAAACCTAGAGTAAGCCATGTAGTTTCAAATACTGAAAAGAAAATTTTAAAATATACAAATGAAAATAAATGATGAGATGACAACTTAGGATTAGTTCTCAAATAATTTGTTCGCATTTTAATGTTTTTTTTTTCAGCAATTGAAGCTTCATGATAAACTCTAGGTCTGCCTCAACCTTTTCTTTTCAATTTGTAATAATGGAGAGTGAGAATTTGTGATAAAAATTTTCTTCTGGCGTCCTTTTAACGGTAAATGATTATCGAGTGTTATTTTTTATTCAATCATACTCCTCACTTTTCTTAGTAATTTCTATTATCTATGTCTTAATTGTGTTTGCTCAGCAAAACAAAATGCACGGCCAAGTTTTGTATAACAAAAAAATCACTAAAAGAGCACTTAAAATTGCAATAACTTTCGAACAAATTGTAATTGAAAAAAAAAAAAAGCTCTTTTTTCATCTCGTCAATTTTCTCAACTTCTTAGTTGCCTACTATCGAACACACGCTGATGAAATTTATATCATACAAATAAAAATAATTAAAATACCTATGTTTGTTACTTTCAAAGAAGGTTAAAAAAAAAAGTTAGTTAACCAAGAATTTCAACAGAGTGGATTTTTTCTTTAAATTTTAGCTTCATGCGTTATGCTCAGAAGATTTATCCATACAAATTGTTTTAAACCTACTAATCGAAATCAGTTAACATGCCGGCCCATTCCATTTCCAATTAAACTATCTGCTCATGCTTACGAACACATCTTCGGAATGAGATTGAATACAGTCCTGGTCGTAGCGTCTTACAATAAAGATTGCAAATTTACTAAATACAAATAAGTTATAATTTTATTAAAAGCTAACATATTTAATGTTTTAAGATCTCACTAACACTGTTCGCATTTATCACTTAAATTGTTACAGGGTGCGTAGACAGATTTTTCAACAAAAAAATAAGCACCTTTTTAGCACTCAAAAAATATTTTTAATCACTTTAAAAAATTCATTATCTGTAGTAATATCAATTACTGTTTATTTCTATCGTTTAAAGCTCTTAATTTGTAAACATAAAATCAATAAAATTCAAAAACATTTTCAATAAAATTTATAAAACCATGATAAAATAAATACTTTCAACAATAAATATTGCAGAGAAAATTAGATTTAAACGATTTAATTTAGAATGACAATCGATACGGGAAAGAAAAACTCTTTTTACAAACCCCGAATAATAAAAACACTTTTCCAAGACCTGCATATTTAAGCGAAAAATAAAATTTCTGATATCTCAAATCACGACCTCTTAAATATGGATTGACGTACATTGAACGATTGCTTACTTAGGTTTTTAGAAGGCTATACTACTTTCATACCAGCTGTGAGTTAGCAAGTTATTCAAGACTGTAGCGACCAATTTATCTTTAGCCCTCTGTGCTGACTCTGAATATAGAGTGGCGCAATATGAAGAAAAGCTATAGTTTTGTGAGGATATTTTTTTTTTTATATGTTCAAAAAGTGACAACTACACTGCATTATCTGGGAACTTAAAATTTGCAATCAAATTTTGATAATTATCATGAGGGTGAAAAATTACTAAATCGGATATTTTTAAAATATTTAAGTTATTGGGTCCCTTTACTGCAAGATGGTATACAAAATTTAAACTTATAGCTTTGCTTTAAGAGTAGGGCAAATAGCTCATTTATTTTCTTTATAACCGCTAAGAAGAACAAATGTTAAATTTACCAGTTTTGATCCATTAACTCCTGAAAGTATCTGAATTACATGCACATCTAACATGTTTCGAAGTATAATTACCTCCTATTATGTACTTGTACAACCTTAGAGATGGACGAAAAGTCATTTGACTTTTCGGAATCTTAGAATTTGTAAAGTCAGAATTATAGAGCATTTAAAGCTTACTGTATAATAGGATATTTCGAAAATATTAGATGGATATGTAATTCGTAAAATATTTTCAGAAGTCTTGTAGCAATACCTCCTACCAAGCTGCTTTGTGTTATGGCTGTTTTTCGAAGGATCTTGGGAGCTATTTCAACATTTGAAGCGTTACTCCAATGCTGAATTGAAACAATAAAAAATTACTAGAGATTTTTCATTCAAAAGTCATTCAAATTTAAACTAATCGGAGAGAGAAGCTAACTGTGATTTGATTGGCCAAACACCTTCAAAAAACAGCCCATGTATGTAGTTTTCACCATCGTCCGACCAAATATATATCATCCTAGATGATCAAAAGGACAGAACGCTCACTGCATCTCGTATAGGAATAAAGTATTTATTGATATTAATTATACATTTTTGTTATTTTATTTTATAAACTAGTCATGTAACAATGCTTTTTTTTCTTTCTCCGATGCTTGTTTATTGCTAAAATTGTGGTATGTCTATAGTTAAAGTGCAAAAATACTAATTAAGACATCTTAAAATATGAGTATTTTTAATTGAAAGATTTAAGATATTGAAATACAATTCATAAAAACTGGCATATCCTTTACTATATAAATGGTCGTTATTGGATTTTACTCAAAACACTGTATACTCTTTGGCAAAATATATATATATTCATATATATTTATATAAAATATATCCCAAATAACTAAATAACGTGGAACCAAAGCACATGTTACACATTATAAACTTTTCATTTTAACTTTTATTACTATTGAAACACTTTGAGAGAAAAATGTCAAAAATAAATCCATTAGCAAACGTCGACAAGGAAAAGAAAAAAACAAATGATTTGTAACATTTAAGTACGTAAATCACACGTGCACATCCCCAGTATTTTTATGAGTGTAAACTGGAGATTCTGCACATTTGGTTTGTTGCTGGATGAATTCCTTTGTCATTATTTATCAGAAAAATCGAAAATAGATTTGTTCACAATACATTTAAAAACTTTAATAATAAAATATATTATGCTGGGAATTAATTACTTGAAAGAGCATGGAACATTTGGTTACGTAAATATCTTGTTAAAATGTTTGTGTTCACAACACTACAAACAGAGATTACAACCCTCTTTTTTTTTACACAGATGAACACTTTTTTTTGAGCAGATCAAAAGAGAGTTGTGCCAAATGATGATTCTTTTTAAAACACAGAGAAATACAAGCGCATACAACATTCATACAGATAAAAATTTACTTTGTAGGTGGCTTCTTTTTATTTAAATCGATGCAACACATTTAAAAATGATGTGCGAGTGGCAAAAGTGTCACAAATAAACAACACTCATCTCTCACTATACCCAGGGATGCACAACCACATTTTAGATTTAGACAATTAGAGAAGGGCCAGCAAAATCTGAAGCTGTAAATCCTGAACACATTAGAAAGTACTGACTACACATAGCACTTGAATGCAGATGATAAAATTAATTTAAAGTAAATCTAATCAAATTAGTTACATTACATAAAAAAATTATGACATCTATCAACACGGATAGAAAAAAAAAAACCTATATCTGACGAAATATAAATTTCATAATTGTTGCAAAATATACTTAATATTTTACACATAGGGGATATTTGGGATAAGTATAGTAATCGAAACAGAAAAGCTGCAATATTTTTCAGTTATGATTTCACTTTAAATGATCTTGAAACGCTGTTTATTTATAATTTTGAAACGTAATAGGCATCTAATTGATCAAAAGTGGTTAACTAAATTTTATAAATGAGGCTCGCTTTATTATGCATTAGCGACACTTATTTAAATATTCACGCCTGCAATAATGATCGGCACAAAAATTCTTTTTCAGAAGGGTCTTTTTTTTTTTTTAAGGAAACTTACTCAATTTTAGGGAATTCTCTAAAACGTACAAAATCAAGGAGAATTTTTATCAAATCAGTAGAAACTGGCAAAATCCAGTAAAGTTGACAGCTACGTGATAAGTTATAACAAAACTTACTAATTTGCTTTAAAAGATGGCTTATATCCTTTCTGATCTCTCTTGAAAAGATTTTTTTTTTACGCGAACATTCCACATTTTTATTGGTAAGATAGTTCAGGGGCCAAGTGAAAAGGAATCAAAGGCTCTTTTAGACCCATAGGTTGCACATCCCTGTACTATATATAATATACCATAGAATAAAAATTCTCAATCGTAGCAGCACCAAAAAAAAAAAATTCTTTTTTTTTTTTTTTTAAAATATGCTATACACAACTTTTCAATAATTTGCATTGAAAGTAAACTCAGGTACAATCAATAAATTTCTGACACATTAAATAATTTTTCTATATTTTTACTATACAATATTTTCACTGCCATTTAACCACAGCTCGTATCTTTTTAAATATAAACTCAATTTATATACTTTAAAAGTTTTACAAGTCTTTAGATAAAATTAATAAAAAACATAACACAAAAGAAACCAAGCATTTAAAAACAATAAAACCCTGATAAAAAAAAACACTGAATAAATTTTGTAGAACAAAAATAGTACACATAAATAAATCCCAGGAACAGAGAAATAAAAAAGTATGTTTTAAGCATCATTCATCTTATCACAGCACATACTTCTTCCAAATACTGCATTTCATTTATAAGATAAGCTTATTTACAAAAAAGCACTTTTTTTATTATTTTTATTTAAACTTTCTTCAGATTAGTCAACAGCCAATTAAATAATCTCAATTTGAACCCCCCCCCCTTTTCTCTGATTTTCAATTGTGAATTTTTGTACTATTCAAAATCACATAACAAGAAAAATAAAAGAGACTCAATGCAAGAGAGCTATTTAAGAAGGACACAGTATTCATTTATTGCTACTGCAACAGTTATTGCTGATTATTGCAGATAAAATCATTCGATGTGTTGCAGAAAAACAACGTGTCTTTACAGCAAAAATTCTGCCCATAGTATTGAATACTATCAATCATATAGTGAGAACCAATACACTGTGAAGTTTGGATGAATGGCCCATATGAATTGAATGTCGCCTACATTCGTTAGAATGTAGACTCCAGAGGAAGACTAACATTGATGACAGCAGCTAGGTCACCAGTAGCAAATTTTATTCTTTTCTCCCTTCAAAAGTTAGAAGCTTTAAGTACAGTAAGCTCGGTATTAGGATAAGTAGACCAACTTAAGACTTCTACAATTAATAACCTGCCTCAGGACAATGCAATCTCTGGATTATAGTGAATTTGGTCCCTTCTTGAAACAGATAACACAAAGATAAGTTAATAGCTTTGTTGCATTAGCCTTTGAACAAGAAAAATTTGTCTTAAGTAAAAAAAAAAAACTTTTCTCCTTTAAAGATAGATAAAATTTTTATTTTTGATTCATTTATACAAATCTTGTCCTCGCTAATACATTAATAATGTTTTAAAAAGATTTCTCGTTTTGACACTCGCACACCCATTATATAATATATATAACATTAAAAACAAAAATCATCATCAGCAGCTATCGAGACTAATTTACAAGTGAAAATAAATTTAAAAACCATACATAGCTATACAACTAATATGGCATTATACACAGCATTTAAATGTCCCCAGATAAGGCAACATTATTATAGCACTGTTTACAAAGAGTAGCAATACTGATATTGTAAAATTGTGAGCATTTAAAGACGTACTTCTCGGGTGCCTTTCCGAAAACACTACGCTGGTCTCTAACACACTATAGGGGCATGCCAACCCCGGTGAAGCAAGCACATGTTGCTGCTATTATATAAATAGCAGAACGTTTAATTACCACTGCAAACACATTCCGCACCAAGTATTGCAATATCTGAAATTTCCATATTTTGTTAGTTTAAAAAAGCTCCGAAGATTTCCATCTACTTTACGGATAGCAGCACACAACACAGGCATTAACAATAATCACAAATAATTGTTTCATATATACTTTCTTTTTCATTAAATATATATATTTTATATGACATAAAAGCTACTTATAATGTAACATAACATATTGGGGGGAAAATATATATTTCTCGTAACAAAAGGGGAAGAAAAAATGCAACATTTGGAAATAAAAAGTCTGGAAGACTACAATGAAAAATATAACTATTTAACAACATACAGCAGAAAAATAGACAAATATAAGTTCGTTTTTAAATATATATCAGCCAGTGGCTCTAAAATAAAAAAAAAATTTACTCTAATAATTAAAAATTTTCTACATATACAGAAAAACCACATAAATATATATATTAAAATAGGAATACTAAAACAATATTAAAAAATAGCTTAATCATTGTGCCTTTCCTTGGGCTGCACAGAAAGTTTAAAAAACAGTCACAAAAATCACAAAGACTTTACATATGCAGCAACAAGGATTTTGTGAAACTGACTATAAAAAAAATTTTTTTTTACTTCCTCCACTTCATCAAATGGCAACCAAATTTGTGTGCAAATATTACATTCACATGACAATTAAAAACTACATTATTTTGTTTTTCTTAAAAAAATTCATATATATGGAATATACACCTGAATAAGTAGGGTTTTTATACACTTCATAAATACAAATTAGACATCAAAGAATATAATCTTTTATAATACTCCGTTCATTTTTTTAAATTCAAGATTGTGTGATGCAGCAAAATACGCAGCTCTTTCTACTGTCACAGAATAGATTATTATATAATATATATGTTCGTATAATGATTATTGGGACAGTTGTGACTATGGACATGGAGAACAACAACACTTTTACACTTAAAAGTCTAGTTCAAAACAAAGAATGTATTTACGATAAAAAAGATGAGAATGCAAAAAATGTTTGGCTCTGGCTACAGAGAGGGCCAGGAGAAAGAGAGAAGATGATATATTTTTTTGTTTTCAAATAAGCTGCCGTTGGGGAGAGAGATGAAAGTTTTAGTTGTAGATGCGGATGGCCTGGGTGGCTGGCTGCTTGCAGATGGGACACTCTTTGTCACTTTTGTTGCATATGCGACTAGCGCATTCTAAACAGAATGCATTATGGCCGCACGGAACAAGAGCAGCCACGACCGCACTCTCGTAGCAGATAATGCAGTCGCGTTTGGGCTTCTTACCTGGAGCAAGGTTTTCGATGGGGCTGCTCGAAGAAGAGCTTGTGCATTTGGTAACAGCGGCAGAATAACCAGAAGACAGGCTAGCTGGAGCAGTGCTGCTACTGGCAAGGGGTGAGAAAGACAGAGAGAGGTTCCCTAAATTTCCAATGTTGGCAAGTATGTCTCCTACTTCTGGTACTGAAACTGGGTCACTGTGTATCCTACGAGCTGGAGGATGATCAGATAGAATGAGCTCTTGAAAAGCACCAGACAGGCTTCTTTCAGACAGTCCTCCACTACTTCCGCCTGAACCGCCGAATAAGGAGATACCACTGTCGGTAAGGGTGGAAGTGCCACAGTCTGGCCAAGAGGGAGAACACCTGGGAGGAGCGCCTGGAGCAACTTCAAAGGTGGGTGAGCAAAATCCATCGTCCAAATCGTAAACATTACTAAATGCACTGTTGAAACCGAAACCACTGTTGAACACATCGTTCTGTTTGGCATTTCGGCTGGAGGAGGAGAAATTAAAAATGTTATCGACATTCTGAAGATCCAAAACATTATTGCTATCACGAGCTGCAAATGGGTAAGAATAGCTGTCGTTTTTGAAAAAGGGTCCATTATTGATGGCATTGAGATTATTTGTATACGAGTCTAAATTAGAATTGAAATCTTCATCCGCTGAATCCATAGACCCACCAGTTCTCATTGCAATATGAGCCTCTATCTCCTTGCGTGCAGTCTCAACATTGTCGGGTAACCCGGTCACCTCGAAGATCGGCTCCTTCTCTCTACTGGGAGTGACGATGTAAGTGCTGGTCTGCTGCTGGATACGCTTGATGGTGGCACCTTTAGGTCCTACAACCAGCCCCACAACACGATATGGAACTCTAACAGAGATTGTCGTCTGACCTGGAATATTAGAATTGGGTCCTGGCATGAGGGCCCCATTTAAGTTGTTTTTTCGTTGAGCTCTGATTTGACTGAAATGTTCAGCAGCAGAAAGAATCTCTCGTTTTGCAGAACAAACATCTTCTTTCCTGCCTGTCACAACAAACACTGGTTCCTCTCCACGCACGGGCGTCTTGATATATGTATTGGTCTTTGCTCTCAGTGCTTTGATCTTACAACCTGAAACAAAAACATTTAACTTAGTAAGAACATAAATAACTATTAAAGGTATTGTTTCTTCTGGGAAAGAAACTTTCAAGATATGATGACAAACAGTAAAAGTCAGAGGAACAAAAAATAACGAAATTTCTTTATCTGTCAGATTTTATTCATTGGTGAAAGTTAAATTTTTAAAATAAAACAAAAGAGATAAAGCTTCAATCATTAGATAAAGAGAATAATCCTCTATAATATGTAACACAAATCAAATACAGACCAACTTATCTAGCTGTGCTTTCTTAAATTTAGTTTTGCCTCATGTTATAACATCTGGTTTTGTTTGGACCAGAGGGGCTGCTATTTCGAGCATCGACTCAATTATACTTAAGCAAACTTCAAATATACTTAAATGATTTGTTCATTTTAATTTTTTTAATTTAATAAGTACATAAATAAATTTCGAATAAGGAATCTTTAAATACGCTTTAACAAAAACAATAGTCTTATTTTTGATACTTTTCCATTTTGTCAGCATTACTAATTTATCCATTTACTAAAAAAAAAAAAAAATAGCTGATATTACTTGATTACTTGCAGAGAAATAGCACTAAGCAAAAGTAAATCTGCAGAAATTTTTATACCTTGTATAAATTTAACTTTTTTTTTTAAATACTCAATGAAACTTAATAACGTAACCAAATATTGGTTGAAAAGTTGAAAAAAAGTCTATGAAAAATTTATCAGGAATCAGAACCTTTTTTTCAGTCTATTCTCTAAACTATACTAATGTTTCAAAATAAATTATTGCTGTAGATTTATTTTCACTACTACATTGATATCCGGAACTGACTACAAGTTAGTTTGAGAAACATTTAAAAGGAATTATAGAAAAAAAGAAAAAAAAAATTAAACAGAGGCGAGTTTTAGCAGGGGGGGGGACATTAACAATGGAATCTTGTTAAACGCCACTGAATACTTTATTTTTTTATTCAGAGATTTAGTTTTAACAAATAATTTAAGATCTTAACTGCTCATAAGAAACTGGTCTAGTCATCTTTATAATGCATACATTCATAAATATCAGTAACATTAATTAAATGGAATTAATTATGTATGCAATTAGTAAGTTTTCTTTAAGCTTAATAAAAACTTAAACTAAAAAGAAAAAAAAATACAAACCAATAAAAGTTATTGATTTACATCACTACAGCCTAAAATTGTATTGCATGTAAAAAAAAGTCAGACTAAACTGAAAATCGTAACGTATACACAAATTTTAAATTTGTGAATTGAAAAATTGAACTGCACATATTTAATGATACAGTTCAAATTTGTTATAAGATATTTAATTTATATATTTCAACCATTTTTATACCAAAACTGTTCCGAAATTCAAAGTAAAAAAAGCGGAAGTCCCCAGGGAAGTAACAGGCAATTTGCCAAAAACCAAAGAACAGAAGGCTTAAAACGAACGTTTAACTATTTTCATTAAACAGTTCTCATATCGAAATAGCATGCTGTTCTCAAATATATTAATATAATATTTGGAAAAAAAAATGTTAATCAAAACAAGAAACTTCTGTTTCAGCAAATCACGAACGTTATTTTCTTTTCCTGCCAATGAAGAAATTCTTACAAAAGCTTTCAACTCAGGGTTGGGATAGAATTATTAACTCAGTTATTGGTCTAAGGAAAAAATCTAATAGAAATATTGCAGATAAATAAAAAAAAATAACTTTAATTCTAAAAATAATATTTTATTCTTTTATTAATAATAATAACGTTAAAAGAGTTTGTCTATCAGAAGAGCTTTTCAAAATGCAGTTAATGAAAATGCAGTGGAATGCAAAATGCAGTGACCCCATGAAAATGCCCATAAGAAAGATTATATAAAAAGCGAAACAGAAAAAAAAAAATTTGATCTTAAATTTTTAAAGCTTGAGACATCTGCTTTCCAATTTGCCGCATTTTCAACAAAAAAAAAAAGTTGATTTAATAAAAAAAAATCTTTATTGCCGCGTCATATTAAAATCGTTTATAAAACAAATGTTTTTAAAAAAGAATAAGCTAGATAGAAACTAAAACAAAAATCGTTCTTCACAAAATAATGTTTAAACAAAATATTTAAACGTTAAAAATTTCATTGACTTTATTTTCACTTAGTCGTATTTTCCGAAAAGTACCATAACATAAAACAATAACGATCATTAGAAACGCTTTCATAATAAAAATACCGATAAAAAAAGCTAATTAAAAAAAGCATGAGTAAACGTTAAACTAAAGTTAAAACTTTATATTTTTGTTTAACTTTAACTTCCGCAAAAAAGCAAAAGACGAACAAAAATTTTCTTTTTCCAAAATCACTCTTTTATCTGTTACCCGCCATACCGTGCAGAAAAGGTTGTTTATAATAAAAACAGCAAAAACTAAAAAAGTTTTTAATCCTTAAAAATTGCCAACCGAATATTCAGCAAAAGCGCCTGTACCGAATGTTCGTTTTCCACCCTTAATATTCTTACCCTTAGTATTTTATATTATTAATAACTATTAAATATATATAAACACATTTGAGCAAAAATAGCACTATTTCTTCGTTTCAAAATAAAGTTAAATAACGATAACGTCAATAACTTGATTTTGTTCGCACGAATTATCATTGAAACCATGCGAATCGATAATATCTGGCACTTTACCAGCAATACTGCTTCAGGTAAATTATTCGTAAAACCCCAGTCTTTATTTTTGTAATGCGATAACATAAATGGCGGAAAAGGCGAATTTTTCAAGAAACAGATTTGTCGACTATGCATGTGGTGTGGGCGACTTTTGTTAACAATTGTCGTCATGCGCTAACGTGAAGCCTACTATAAACTAAATTTAAAAAAAATAGAGAAAATAAAAATATGTAATTTAAAAATAAAGTAGAAAAAAAAACATGTTTCTAACTTCATTCATCATTGGATTGAAGGTAAATAACCTAAATATGAGATGGAAAAAAAAAATTTTTTAGTAACTTTTTAAGAAGAATGCAAAAAATGGGGAGTCAAGTAGACAGAAGAAAAAATGACATGAGCAACTAACTTAGCAGATAAAGCAATTTCACATTGTATAAAATAACATCCTCTACTTTTACAGCAAGTCAATTGACTGCATTTTCTTCCACAATAATTCAATGCCTTCTTATCTACATAATTATAATTAATTATTATAATATAATTAATATAATAATATAATCCATTAACACATTACTTAACTACGTGTAAAAGTACTGACATTTATGGAGGGGAAAAACGATATAAAAAGAAAAACGGCGAATTAAAAAAAAAAAGAAGGGGGGGGAAGATATAACGTTATAAAGGCATATAACATCACAACTGAAGAGCTAGTGCAAGAAGCAGGTATGTGACATTTTAAGGGGAATTAATAAGTCAGGAGAAAAAGTAGTTGCATCACTATTGGTATATACACTGAAGAGCCATTATAGGACCACACTCATCTATAACAATGGGCTAGCCCAGGTTTTCATGGTTTCTCGCCCAGGAACAATGTTTCCATGGGGCACATAAGGACCCATAATCCTCATAGAACAATCCCTGACGTCTGTAAGCTACTTGAACATAGTTGCAGACCAGGTTCACCCATTCACGGCAACAGTTTTTCCTAACGGGAATGGTGCTTACCAACAGTATAATGCACCATGTCATAGGGGTCGAATCGTCGAGGAACATTCCAGTGACTTTCAAGTCATGTCTTGGCCCCCAAATTCACCTGACCTTAATCCAATAAAGCATTTGTGGTCCTACTTGGAAAACCAAATTTGTGCTGCCACGCTACCCCCTTGCAATGTGAGGGAATTGCAGGACCAGTTGGTGAGCGCTTGGTACCAGATACCTCAGACTACCTATCAGCACCTTGTGGAATCAATGCCATGGCGGGTGCTACCAGCTTGAGGGCTAAAGATGGTCCTACATGTTATTAGCAGGGTGGTCATAATGTAATGGCTCTTCGGTGTATAAAGTTACAGAATTGTTTTTGCTTTCACTTAAATCTTTACACAACTAATCCACATTCGTTTTCAGAATGATCGCATAATTTTTATCTCAAAATAGGAAAGGATAAACAAACTAAGGCAAAGAATTAGTCCAACCTTCTAATAAATTGGTAATAAAATAGTTCAGATACCACTTTTTTTTTTCTTGGTAGTCTCTCTGAAAATGTCACTTATTTGGTTCTACTAAGTTCTTCACTTAATATAGCTTTAATAATTTCAATTTCTTTTATAATTTTGTGTTGATCTTAACGGTGGCTTTACGTTATTAAACAAAGCAAAACTCGTTTTTTGCTGTTCATTTCACCAGAATAAAGATTAACAATGGCAGCAAATAAAAGCAGATTTTTTTTATTAAATAAATGGAACTCTATGACTTTGGAGCATCTCGATCTGACCATTAGCTTACAGTTAATATTAACATAAATGGTGTAAAGAAATTCTTTAAATCGTAATTCATAAAAATATTAAAACACTATCTACCACTGGAAAAAATATTTTCTGAAATTACAAAAAATCAGTTTTAGAATTCTAGTTTAAGAATCAGTTTTAGGTTCTTCTAATCGAATAAATACTTTTACTCCTTTATTTTATTTTCATTGCATGGTTTTATTTCTTAGTTTCCTCAAAATGAATTAGTGAACTTCCCATTAATTACATCATTCAACCAGAAATAGCATGCTTGAATTTTTTTGCATTAATTAGATAAATAATTTGAAAATACTGACAAAAAATTATGTTTTTAATTGTCAACTCTGCTTTGAATAAGGAACTTATCTACAAAAGCTGGTAATTTTGATTTGAACAAACAATCTAGAAAGGAAAGGTATTAAAAAAAATTTTTTTTAACTTTTAAAATAAGTAAATATTCTTTATAAAAAAAAAAACAAGGCAGAAAAATCAGTTTAAGTAACATCTTCTCTGTTTGGATTCAGTAAACTCTAAATTCATTAACGGTACAACAAAGATAGCT